CAAGCTAGACCACAATGCATCATGTTTGATATGGTAAACAAGGTCAAGGTTGGTATCAGAGTCTTACAGGATAAAGTACTTTTAATCAACTGTGCACTCTCGTCTGACAGCCTGTCGTAGGATGTGATGAACGACTTAGCAGCAGTACTTGATTCATGTCCATCTTCATCCTGAGGAGAGAGGGGAAAACAGACAACATTTATCTATGAACTTTAGCACAGGTTGAGAGCCCACAACAATAACACTGTACGACATGCGGTAACATTGAAATGGCTTCCCATGAGAATGGTTATCGTATGGATGGAAAACGTAAGGTTACAGCACGTACACGGTACGACATGCCATAACATTGAAATAGTATCGTCTTTCAGAATTAATTAATTCAACCAAAACGAGTAGTTACTTCTACAGCAAGGTATGGTACAGCCATGAATTTGCAGTATCGTTTCTCACTTATTCACTCACTCACTCCTAATATATAGGTACGATACCTTGACCATAGTGGTTAGCAATGCTTTCACTTCTGACACCAGCTGCTGATGTGTTACTTTCAGTGCTTTGAGGGCATTGGTGTGGGACTTGAGTGATTCCTGAACAACAAAAGCAAATAATATCAACATCATCATCAACAACTTCAACAACACTATATCACATCAATAAACGCCAGCAAAATTAAAGCTTAATACTGCAAAACTAAAAAAACAAGGACTCACTCTCTTGGTAGTGACAGAACTGATAGCCTGTATCTTCCTGGACTTATGTGATGATATCTCTTGACTGACTGACTCCAGGTTAGTTTTCATCCATCCAAGAGTGATTCAGGCGGACATTTGATGTTCAATAACGATGTCATCTCACTCACAGCCTTTAGCTTCACCAGAGATTTTTCTAATTCTGAGGAACTGTTCTTGCATCTGAAAATAAGTTACTCAGTCAATTGTGAGAAAAATACAGGATAATAATATAAAGAGCAGGAAACTTTGAATTCTGACAAATGGTACATGCGTCTACCGGGAGAATCGAAAAGAACGGGAAAGATTACTTCAATTAGAAGACCGAGTTTTCCGGAACTTTCAGATCCGAATGACATATACCATTTGTTTTCCCAAGCGGAATGTTTGGTTTTCCGGGTAAATGGTAAGCATCCCTGATGTTAAATTAAGACGTGGTTAACTCCAAGAATATTGATTGACAAATTAATCGAGTAGGTAAATGAAGCGTAACCATATAAAATACATTAGGGCTTACTTGGAGACAAGAGCAGTGATGGTGCTGTCCAAAGCTGTGACCTCATGGGACTGGCTACGGAGCATCTCGAAGTGAATCAGGGCATTAGATAGTGAGCAGATGTCTGAAGAGTGCTTGGCCTCCAACTATGGTATACAAAAAATTATATATAAGATCAATGACGTACACTCCTACAACTAAAAAAATATATATTTTAAAAATTAATTTAGATTTACACAGTGTAATATTCATTCAGGCCCTTTCTAGATCGAATTAGAATTTACAAGTTGATTTTTGCGGAGGGAGGAAAACTGGAGAACCTGGAGAACCCTTGAAGCACACGAGAAAACCAACGAACATCTCTACTCACATACGACGATGTTGAAAATCGAACGCGGGTCACATTGGTTAGAGGCAATTGCTCAAGCACTCACACATTGAGTCTTTCAAAACTTACCTTTTCCCTTTGAACAAATCCAAAAATCACCCCCCACCCCCACCCCCCATGAAAAACATCAGCAGCCCCCCTTCCCTTCGCGATGTAACAAACAATCAGTCCCTAAGTACCACCCATCACCTGTAACAGTTGTTTTCTATCATTGACAGTCTTGTCAAACTCCTTTAGTACAGGGTTCAAGGCTGGATTAGCTCCTGCTGCCCACTTGAGTCTCTGTTCGATGCTGGACTGTTGAGTTATGATCTTGTCTTCTATGGCTTTTACAGCTGGCTCCAGTTGAAGAAGAGACTGAACTCGCTGTAATTGATAATAATAGTAATAAAAACGGATAATAATAATCACCTTTGACAAAAAAGGAAAAGATCATTTACTTTATCTTGTTCAGCATACCTTTCTCATGTCGTTCATGATGCTGGCTTTAGCAGGGCTGATCATGCTGTTGTCTCTCAAGGGACAGCGCAGTAGATCATCTTCATACAACCACTACATCAACAAATCAAATGGACAATACAAGAAATAATATAAAAGAGGTCTTAGCACCTTGTTTTAAGGATGCACTGAGGGATTCTAGATCAGAGTAAAACTAACAAGAGAAATTCCAAAATCAATCTGTGGGGGAGACGTGCCCCGACATTAATCACCCCGGATGTTGTTTAAGGGATCAATACAATTTGAAGGTTTGAAGGAAAATGGAGAACTCCAAAGTGTAGCATGTGTTTATACACCTGTGTGCAATCTGAACCATGGCAAGGGTGGGTCCATGGGGTAGGGGGGAGGTGGATCTGGGGAAATGGTGGATCCGGGGGGATCCTGGGTGGGGATCCAGGGGGGACTAGCCACCATCATTTAGAGTTAAAAAAATAAATAAAGGATAAGATAAAACCTAAAGAAGACACTGTGATTCATAACTCTCTTCAAGTCTCGATTTACATCTCCCTCAAGCTCATGTAAGCCCCTTATAGTCTGTGCTAGAGGAAGAATATCTAGAGCTGAAACATACCTGGAACCTTGCTAGCTGTAACTGAGATCTTTGAACCACACCCTTGTAGAGACTGATATTGTGGTCCAGACGTCTGTAGAGAAAAACATCACCAACTAGATTAGCATGTTGAATAAGTAAAGTACTATTAACAACACAGACACTTTAAAACCAGCCTGTTTAACCCCATGATGGCTTCACAGATATCTACCGATATGTAAATAGAGGTTTTGCACCATCACGTGAGGGCAGCCCTGTTAGATAGCAGAAACAATACTTAAAAGGTTACATAAGTAAGAATTCAATTCCCAAGAGCAGAGGGATTTTATTGTTCTGCTATCTAACCACAGGCAGCCCAAGCTGTATATTATGAGGTCGGCATGTGATGGTGCAAAATCTCCATGAGATGTACTGGCGTGTTTCTAAAATATGCAAGTCAATACATTGTGACGCAAGTATCTTGTCACGTAAGTGTGTTGTCACACTAGCATTGGTATAAGTCAATCCATTGT